CTTTTTAGGTCTTTGTTTGTTTGTTTGTAGTTTCCTGTCTGGTTTCAATGAGTTTGGTGTGCTCCTGTTAAGGAAGCAGCATGTTTTTATCTTGAAATTTGGGGTGGTTTGCTTTGTTTAGGGTGCTTTTTCCCCCACTGACTCGGGCCTTCCAACTCCTGATGGACTGGAGTGATGAGTGCTCTCAGCACAGGGTATTTCTTAATATTGTGGCTTTCCCTCAGCTGTGGGTGAGGAATTGTGCAAGCAAGGCCTGTGTGCCCGTGGGTGTCTCCCGTGTGTGTCCGTGGGGCAGGGCTGGGACAAGGACTCGTGCAGGGACCCAGCTGGCACTGGAGCTGCTGCCATCCTGAGCCACTGCCAAGGGCTGGGGAGAGACCATCTGGGAGGCTGTTGCCAGCCTTCCATTGGGAGCTGGATCTGCCTCCAGCTGCAGCAGCCAGGGGAGGGTTCTTCCTTGTGCAGCCCAGTGGCTTCTGCTCAGGCTGGCCCAGAGTGGGGCTGGGGCAGGTTCTCCAGGGAACTGGAGCCAGCCCTGAACGGGGCTCTGGAGAGCAGGAGCTGCAGGGATTGAGGTTTGCAAAGCTGGGCTGAAGTTTGTCAAAGCAGCAGAAGATTGTCATTCCTGTGGGTTTGTGGAGTCCGTGTTGGTGCCCAGGAGAACTGGGTCAGACTGGGCTTTGTGCTCCGAGACTGCCCCCCTAAATGTGGCAGGCTGTGTGTGCTGGCAATGAAGTGCTGTCCCAGAGGCTGATGGTTTCTGTCTCCAGGGATGCCCAGGACGCTGCCAATGCCCAGGGATCTGCTCTGGGTCCAGGCTGTCCGTGCTGGAGGGCCCTGGTGGCTGCAGTCCCTGAGCCCACAGAGACAGAGAGAGCCCCGGCCCGAGGGGCCTTTGGCCCCTTGTCCTGAATTTGGGGTGAGCCTGGGAGCGTGTGGAGGGTGAGAACGAGGGCTGTGCTTCCAATGCATCATCCCTGGGAAGATCCTGTTGTTCCAGAGCGCCGGGGACAGTTTGGGCTTGGCAGCTTCAGAGCTGGGTTGGAGCAGTCCCTGAAAAGAATCAGGAGAGTGGAGGTTTGTCCCAGTGCTGCTTTCACACCCCACTGGACAGGCTGGGCTTTGTGTTTGAGGCTGTCCTGTATTTGCTCTGCAGATAAGGGGCCCTTCCCAATTCAGTCCAGCAGATCCCAAGGGCTCTGACAGGAATATTTGTTCTTTCCTTCCCTTTGGAATAATTTCATCTCCAAACTGCAATGAGCAATTCCCTGATTTCTCCTGGAGAAAACCAAGTGTCAGAGGCAGTTTCCAAGGAGCCCAGAAGTGTCTTTGGAGCAGAGAGTGCTGCCAGCTCCGTGTGCCTGTCCCCAGCCTGGCACTGCCCACAGGGACACACTGGGCACAGACCAGGAGAGGGAACAAACCCACTGCCTGCCAGAGGGTTTGTCCTGGGCCATCAGTCCTGGGGCAGGAATTGGACTGGGCAACTCCATCAGCTGCTCTTCCCCCACAAAGCCCCATCCCCTGGGCATTAATGACGTGCCCTGTGCCCAGCACTCACTGTTCACCCAACTGAAACCAAAGCAGGGCTTGCTTTGCTTTGAACTACTTAAAGGAACTTTAAAACAAAATAAATCACTTTGTTCTTTTTTTTCTTTTAGATGCTGGAATTGCCTCTCTGGGTGTGTGCTGAGCTCTGGCTGCAGGGGACTGTCAGGCCTTGGTGGCTGTGAGTTCCTGTTCTTCTCCCTGGGAAACTGGAAAGAGTTATTCCTTGGATTGCAGAAATGTTTTCTGAAGCCTGTCCCCATTTTTGTGCCTTTTGCTGACAGATCTTCTCTTTCTGCCTTTGCATGTAGAGCCTCCTTGCAGCTCCCAGCTGGGAAAACCTGGGATAACTTAGGAGGGACAGAGGTGACATTTTTATCTGCAACCTTGGGGTAATTTCTAGGGGATACAGCAACTGTTTGTGTAGGAAAGTGTGTTTAACCACATTGGCCCCAGTTGTGTTTGCACCAGCTGGGGCCAGAGGTGCAAGGCAATCCAAAGCAAACCCTGCTCAGCCTCCAAATCCCAGGGGAAGTTCTCCAAGCTGCTCCCTGAGGGACTAAAGATACATTGAAATGGAACCAAGAGCACTAATAAGGATCCTGGGAATCCCAGTATTGTTGAACTAGAATTTTTAACAGGTTTTTAAGCTTTTTATGACAAGAATGACTTTCTTCCTTTGATTGAATCCCGCGGTAGGATTTGGGATTTCTTGGGATTCCGATTCCCTCCCCGTGGCCCTGACACTGATCAGGAACTTGCAGGACAAACAGAGTCAGAGCTCCTGGCAGGTACAGGGGCTTTCCCCCAGAGTGGATCCAACTGCTGCCCCCCAGCCTGGCCAGGCAGGATCTGCTTTGGCTCCCGGCTTCTGCCAGAGACAGAATGTGTTCCCTTGATTGGAATGAGGATCCAGTAGCTTCATCTCCTGGAGGTTCCCTGGGCAGCTGATCCACTCTGCCCCGTGTCCTGCTCTCAGTTCCTGCCCAGCCAGAGCCAACTGTGCCAAGGGCACGAGCACTTCCAGCCTGGATAGGGAATGAGGGACTGGCTTGTGTACAATTCACCTAGAAAGTCAAACGAGGGGATTGTTGGAGTATCTGGCTCCTTAGGGAACCTGCTGCGAGTAGAGAAGCACAGCCCCAAACCTCCAGCTGTGGGTGGAGTCGTGGAACATAAACCAGCACAAATGGATCCCCCAAAATGAACCGTGGGAGAGCAGGACCAAATAACGAAAGGCCAAAGGAATTGGTTGGGACTTGGATTGTCCCCTGGGGAGATGCTGGTTGCTGGGATGCAGAGAATGCCCTCCCTCAGGCTGCCAAGATCTCTCAGGGCAGCGGCTTTGGCCGACAGGGCAGCACAAAGATTGTTCTCTGCGGGGCCCAGGTTTGGGTTCCGGTCTCAGCTCTGCAGGTTTGGATGAATTCTACCTCCAGCCCGCAATTCCATGGGGAATTCCTGCTGGAACAGCCTCCCAGTGCCTCCTGGAGCCCGGCTGTTCCCCTGCAGAGCTGCCGCTTTAAGGCCGGGTTTGCCGGGAAGCAGCCGCGGTTCCAGGTTTGCTGAGCGGGATCGGGACAAGGACAGGTTGCTGTTGCACAGACTTTGCTGTTTGTAACCCTCCTGCCCATCCCCACTGATGTCCCTGTGGGAGACAGCTCTGGTTGCCTGGAAATGACCTGAACAAACAGTTTTGCTGATGGATCTGGTCTCCCCCTGGCCGAGTTATGGAGCAGAAGCCCCAACCCCAGCCCAGCTCTCAGTTCTGCAACTGCAAATCTTCGTATCCTGTAAAATGTGTTGAATTTAAGAACGTTTCCCTGTGTTGCAGTGTTTATGTATTTTGTCTTTCTCCTTCTGTTTGGCAGGTGAAAGTTCATTAAACAGTGGATTTATCACTCTTCCTGCTTCCAGTGGGGAGTACTGGCTGCTCTGTTTAAACTGGTGACTGAAAAACTGATACTAAAATTGAAATAATTCTGTTAAATACTTGGGAAGAGTTTTCATAATATGATTTTTTTTCCCTTTACTGTGTGTTATTTTTCTATGTCCTGCCTTTTCAGAGGAATTTATTGTATTTTAATTAGGAAAACAGTACCTAAGTTGCAAATTATTTTAGGTGTTATACCTGGAATTTTCAGTTTCCTAAGGCCATTCTCTGTGTGTTACTAACTAGCAGAGAGTGCTGCAGCAGTTCCTCAGGAGCATTATACAGGAGCATTATTCTTCCTCTTTTTTGGCTGGTTTTGTTTTCTTTCAGTGTATTTACACACTAAAGGATCAATAACTACACAAACTGAAGTGAGTTTTTGGTGCAGTTTATTATATTGCCTTGGATATTGAATCAAAGTAGCAGGTGAAGCCACACATCTGCAGGGGGAACAGGGGCTTGGACAGAAAATATTCCGTTGTCCAACTTTAAAAATTCATGGGAAATTTTGTTTCCACGTGCCAAGAACCAGCGGCTCCAACCTGTGCCCAGCAAGACCTCGAGGCAAAGAGCTTCCCTGAAATTCAGTTGATTGAGGCTGGTTTTGGACACACATCCCAAGGGAAGGGGCTTCCACTGCGGGATCCCAACCTCTGCTCCAGCTGTGTCTCCAGCTGTTTGTTCCCGGGCCCTGCTGTGAGTTATGGCACAGAGGGAGAGGGGCTTTTATTGCTTAGGAATGTCCTCGTGCCCTGGGGCAGCTGAATTTAATGAGGCACAGGGCTGAGCGTCAAAGGAGAAAAAGGGAAAGGGGAAAGAGAGAACAGAAAAAGGGGGAAATGGGAAAAAGAGAGAAAGTAAAACAGGAAAAGAGAAAAGAAAAAGGGAGAAAAAGGAGAAATGGCAAAAAAGGGAAAAGTGGAAAAGAGAAAAGGAAAAGGGAAAAATGAGATAAAAGGAAAAATAAGATAAAAGAAAAAGGGGAAAAGGAGGGGGAAAGAGGAAAAAATAGAAAAATAGAAAGGAAAAGGGAGAATGAAAAGAAAAAGGGGAGGAAAGAAAAAGGGAGAGAAAAGAGAAAATAAAAACAGAGGAAAAAAGAAGAGGAGGGAAAAAAAAGAAAAGAAAAAGGGGCAAGAAAAACAGAAGAAAAGAAAATGGGGAAAAAAGAAAAGGAAGGGAAAAATAGTAAAAATAAATGAAAAAGAGGGGGAGGAAGAGAAAATAAAAGGGCATAAAGAGAAAAGAAAAGGAAATTGGAAAGAAAGGCCGCGCTGCCCCACGGCTGATCTGCACGAACCCGTTCCCATCCCATTCCCATCCCATCGCATCCCGTCCCTTCCCGTCCCCTTCCCGGAGCCGTTTCCCGCGCGCGCTCCCGAACGGGGCGGGGCCTCTGCGCGCGCAGGCGGGCGCGTCACGTGACGGGGCGGTGGGAGCGTCCGAACGGCCGGGACGGGACCGGGATCGGGATCGGGATCGGGATCGGCACCGGGATCGGGATCGGGATCGGCACCGGGATCGGCACCGGGATCGGGATCGGCACCGGGATCGGGGTGAGCCGCGCGGGGCCCGCCGGGCGGTCGCGGGGCTCCCCCGGGGCCTCCCCGGTGCCGGGAGCGGCCGGTCCAGCGCCGGCCCAGGGCGGGCTGAGGGGAGCGGGGCGGGAGCGGAGGGGCCGTGAGGGGATCGAACAAAGGGCCGGGACCGGCTCGGCGGGGGGACACGGCGGGGACACCGGGGAGCCACAGACCGCGGGCTGGCACCGGGCAGGGGCCGCTGGCTCCGGGGGCGGCGGGAACCGTGGAGTCCCGGAAGGGTCGGGTGGGAAGGGACCTTAAAGATCATCCAGTGCCACCCCCGGCCATGGGCAGGGACACCTTCCACTGTCCCAGGTTGCTCCAAGCCCCGTCCAACCTGGCCTTGGACACTTCCAGGGATCCGGGGGCAGCCACAGCTTCTCTGGGCAACCTGTGCCAGGGCCTCACCGCCCTCACAGCCAGGAATTCCTTCCCGTTATCCAGTGTAAGCTTCCCTCTGCCAGTTGGAATTCATCCATCATCGGATCCCTGTGGTGCCTTGTGAACATTCCCAGAGGACCCACACCCTTTGTGTTCTCCTGGGTTCCACCGTGCACGTGGGGCAGTAAAATCCGTGTGGCCGCAGTTCTGAACTTGGTGAATTTGAACTAAAGTTGGTGGGTTTGTCCAGTAAGAAAAGTGGTGATTTATAAAACCAAGCAGAGTGGTATTCCACACTAGGGATTTGGGATTGGTGATGATCCCAGTCCATAATCTTTCTGTTCATTTTCTTTTGGATGCTGCAACCTGCTGAGCTGGGGGAACGTTCATTTACATTTCAGTTTAATTTTCTGTATTTCATTAATTCTCCGTGGAAATCTGCTTTTAATAAAAAGGACCACGAGGATATTGATGACATCACAGGTTCCTAGGATTCAGGCAGGTGTTCATGCAGACCAAGGATTTTTTTGGATGGAAGCAGCTGCACCAATCTCCAAGGAATCTCAGTCTGGGTTTTTCTTTTCTCCTAATTGTCCTTGGTTTGGAGGTGCAGTGCAGCCATGCCCTCTATATCTCTTTTAAGGGTTTTTGAGGCTAAAAAGGTTCCTTTGTATTCCGTATTCTGCAGTATTTATATATCTTGATTAAAAAGAATAATATAATATTGATTTGGTTTTAATTAGTTCATTTGAGTTGGTTAATTAAAGCAAATCATTGATAAGGGAGCGTGCTGAGCTCAAGCTCTGGCTGCAGGGGGCTGCACGCTGGGGTCACACTGAGGGGGGAGAGGAGAGCCTGGGTACAGGGGCCAGAAGGGGATATTTTTGAGGGCAAAGCTGAGGTAATGTTTATGAAAGGGAATGGCCATTCTCGGGGTAAAAAAGAGAAGAAGAAAAATTTTGGGGGTAGAACTTGATGTAATTTAGGGTAGAGAATGACCATTTAGAGGTAAAGTGAGGCAGTCAGTAGTGGACAAGTAGGGAAAATTTTTTTGGGTAAAATCAGAAGTAATCTGAAGCAGAGAGCATGTACATCATGGGGTAAACTGAGGTGATCAGTAGCGGACAGGGGAGGAAATTTGGGAGCGGACAGGGGAGGAAATTTGGGGGGAAAAGATTTGAGGTAATGTCCAGGGTAGAGAGTGAATATTTAGAGGTAAAAATGAGGCAATCAGTAGTGAACAGGAAGGGAAAATTTGGGGGATAAAATGTGGGGCAATGTGTAGGAGAGAATGAACATTTTGGGATAAACTGAGGCAGTCAGTAGTGGACAGGCAGGGAAAATTTTGGGGGGTAAAACTTGAGGTAATCTGTATTGGCAGAGAATGAACACTTTGAGGGAAAAATGAGGTAATCAGTAGTGGACAGGCAGAGAAAATTTTGGGGTAAAACTTGAAGTGCTCCATAAAAGTTCAGTGAATATTTTGGAGGGAAGATCCTAGGCAATCTCTAGAGGACAGAACAAACCTTTTTGGGATAAGATAGAGTTAATGAGGGGGGTTTTTTTGGTCATAAAATGTCCCTCAAGGAAAGGTGGTGGGAGCCAGGCAGGACAGCTCGCTGAGCCCCAGGGGAGGGACAGGCCCTGCTGGGGGGACACGAGCAGGGGGGAACCCCCAGGGCACAGAGGGGGCACGGGAAGCCCTCAAGGTTCGCCTGCTCATGGCTTTGGGGTGTCCTCTGCTTTTCTGGAAGAAGTTCTGTGGCACTGCAAGGGCAAGCAACACACAGGGAAGTGTGTTCTGGGTTTTTAATCTTTGCCACCTCGTGCTGTAAAAGCATCTTGCTCCAGGATTCATTTCTCCTCCCAGGGAGGTTTGGAGGTGCAGTGGTGCCCGCAGCTCCTTTGTGCACCAGCGAGGCCGAGCCCTGGCCCTGATTTGCCAGCCATGGGCAGGGGGCTCTGTGCCAGCCGGGGGAGCAGCGGGGCCCCCGTGGCAGAGAGGGCAGGGGGGCTGTGGAGCTGCCCCGGGGGGAGCGGGGGGGCCTTTCCTGGGCCGCCTCCAGCCCCCCTCGATCCCCGGGGCTGCGCTGCCGCCCCCGCCCACCGGGGGCCGCTGCCGTCGGTCCGTGAGGGAGCGGGAACGGGGAAGGGGGAAAAAGTCCCCCCGGCTCGGGCCGCAGGGAGCGGGAATGGGAAATGGGGAACGGGGAACGGGGAACGTCCCCTCGGCTCCCGGGGGCTCCGCACGGGGCGTGGTCACGGGCCGGGGCCATGGGCGGGGGGTCCGCATCTTTCTCCTGTGCCTTCCCCCCCAACCCGGGCCCCATTCCAGCGCTTGTGACGGACACGGTGCCGTGTCCTTGGAAGGGAGGGTTGGAAGGCGCTGACGGTGTCCCCGGGAACCACTGCCGGGGTCCCCGCCCGCCGCGGGGAGACCGGAGCTGTGCCGTCCCCTGCTGCCGGCCCGGCCGGGTCTCCGTGCGGGAGGGAGGGCCGGGCAGCTGTGGCAGGTCCATGCGACACCATGGGGACACCCCAGGGCTCTCCAGGGTTGGGAGCAGCCCCACAAGCCGCGGCGGGGTGACACGGGGGCGCTGGCAGGTGGCAGGTGCCCGGTCCCACGCGGGACTGGCGGCACGTGGCGGTGCCTGCGCCGCTGCAGGTGTGACCCCGCCGGGAACACGCTGTTCCCCGGCACTGGCACTGCTCGGCGCGGCCGGAGCGGCGGCTCAGCCCCGTCCTCACCCTCAGGCACAAGCGAGACCCCGAGGGAGCTGCTGCTCCCCCCTCCCGCACGCCTTGTTTGCGGTGGTGCTCGGTGCCGGCTCACCCAGGCGGGTGCCCCACCGAGTGGGTTCTGTGCCCCCCCGTGCCTTGCCCGTGCCCAGGTGCCGGCAGCGCAGAGCGGCGGCGTTATCGGTGCCGGCGCAGGTGGCAGGAGCCGCGTGCGGTCGGTGCCTCGGCCGCGTCCCCGGCGGGCGGTGACCGCCTCCTTCCTGCCCCGGCGGCGAGGCGAGCGCGGGGGCACAGCTGCGGCAGCCCCGCCATGTGCCACCGCCCGCGCGAGGCACCGGGACCCGCCGCCCCCGCGGGGAGCCGGGGGCTGCTCCCACCGCCCGGGGAGGGGGCACCCGGGGAGGGGGCCCCGGGGCTCTGCCTCCAGCCGCTCCTCGGGGCGGTCCCGTGGAGGCTCCGGCGGGATTGGAGCTGAATCCTGTCAGCGCGGGGATGGCTCTTGCCGGGCTCCAGCGGCAGAGTGGGACCCACGGGGGGAAACAGGAGGGGCCCCCCGGCCCAGGTGCTGGGGGGGGCGGCTCCCCCCGGGGACATCCGTGTGCCGGCCCACTGTGGCGAGGTGTGTGACGCCAGAAGCGGAGCCGAGCCTCATATTTGGGCACGAAGCAGGTTATTGGAGGCCGTGGCCCTGCAGCTGGGCGATCCCTCGGCTGATAAAGGCTCCCCTGGTGCTGCCGCCTGCACCGGCTCCGGCGCTGCCGCTACATCATCCCCTGCCTGCGCTGGGGGTGCGGGACCTGTCGGGGATGGGGCCGGTCCGGGTGCTGGGGCTGCTGCTGTGCCTGCAGCTGTGTGGGGGTGAGTGGCGGGGTGGTGGGAGCGGGGACCCGCCGGTGCCGGGCCCGGCTCAGGCCCCTCCGTGCCGCAGGCTCCGGGCAGCTGCGGCTGGTGGGGGGCGGCGGGCGCTGTGCCGGACGCGTGGAGGTGAATCACGACGGTGAGTGGGGCTCTGTCTGTGTCTACGACGTCGACTGGGAAGCCCGCTGGGCCACCGTGGTGTGCCGGCAGCTGGGCTGTGGCCGCGTGGCCTCGTCGTCCCCGTACGCCCCGTTCGGGCAGGGCAGCGGCCGGATCTGGCTCCAGCCCTTCTTCTGCGGTGGCACCGAGGAGGTGCTGGAGGAGTGTCCACACTTCGGATGGGGCCAGCACCACTGCGGCCACGAGCGGGATGTGGGGGTGACCTGCACAGGTGAGGGGGACAGGCTGGCTGTGCCGGGACACCCACCTCGTGCCGGGGTGTGCCAGGCAGGGCTGAGCTGTGCCGGTGTCCCGGTGCAGAGGCCGTGGAGCTGAGGCTGGTGGATGGCGGCGGTCCCTGCGCCGGGAGGGTGGAGGTGAAGCTGCGGGGACACTGGGGCTCGGTGGCAGATAACAACTGGGACATGGAGGACGCCGAGGTGGTGTGCCAGCAGCTGGGCTGTGGCTCGGCTGCCGGCGCCTACTCCGCCCGTGACCGCTTTGGCATTGGGGCTGGGCCCATCAACCTGGCCGTGGTGGACTGCAAGGGGGAGGAGGCCACACTCTGGGACTGCAAGATCCGCGGCTGGGGACCCTACAACGGTACCCATGAGTTCGACACCGCTGTCATCTGCCAAGGTAGGAGCTGGGCTGGGAGGGATGCAGCGGTCCCGGCACATCCCTCAGTGCCAACTCTGCACCGCTCCCACAGGGTTTTCCTGGCTGGTCGGAGGTGACAGAGCCTGTGCCGGGCGGTTGGAGGTGCGGCAGAGCCAGGCCTGGGTTGGTGTCTGTGCGGAGCACGTGGACATGAAGGTGGCCCAGGTGGTGTGCCGGGAGCTGGGCTGCGGCGCGGCGCTGGCCATCTCCGGCAGCGGCCGGTTTGGGGCGGGAACGGGGCCGCTGTGGGAGGGGGGGTTCAACTGCACCGGCAGCGAGCCCCTCCTCAGCGCCTGCGCCCGGTGGGTGCCCCACAGCCAGGGCTGCACTGGCCACGCCACCATCATCTGCTCCCGTAAGCACCGGGGACACCGGGGGGTGTTGGGGGTCCCCTCAGCATCACCCCACTGAAGGCCCTTTCTGCCACAGCCTACACGGGCTTCCGGCTGGGGAACAGCAGCTCGGGCTGTGCCGGGCGGGTGGAGGTGGCGGTGAGGGGCACGTGGGGGTCCGTCTGCGCCACCGACTGGGACCTGCCCGATGCCGACGTCCTGTGCCGCCACCTGGGCTGTGGCCACGCCGTCACCGTGCCCCCGGGAGGCTCCTTCGGCAGCGGGGACGGGCCGCTGAGGCCGGACGCCTTCGGCTGCAGCGGGAGCGAGCGGCACCCGGGCGAGTGCCCCGTGGCGGTGCTGGGGGAGCCCCCCTGCACCCCGGGGAACGCCGCCGCCGTCAACTGTTCAGGTCTGTGTGGCGCCTGTGGGAAGAGCCTCCAAGGGCTTTTGGGACACCCCAGGAACTGGGAGCGGAGCACTCAGGGCTGTTTTGGGATGAGGGGAGGGCTGAACCAGGTGCCACAGCCCCACGGCACTGCTGGTGATTTTTCAGGCACTGAAGGCACCGTCAATTCCATGCGGCTGGTGGAGGGTGAGAGCCGGTGTGACGGGCGGCTGGAGGAGGCCATAACCACCCCAGCCTGGCGCCGTGTGCCTGTGGAGCAGTGGAAGAGATGGGATGTCGACATGGTGTGTGCTGTGCTGGGTTGTGGCCTGCCAAAGGAGATCTACACAGCCTTGGGTATGGCACCCACTGCACTGACCAGCAGCGCCAGGGAGGTGGATGTCGTGACGGAGGAGACGGATGTCGTGACGAGGGAGATGTACGACATCTCGGGGATGGGCCCTGAGCTGATCAGGAGCCTCGAGGAGACGGAGGACGTGGCAGAGGAGATCTCCGATGTGTTAGGGATGGGCCCTGCACCAACCAGCAGCCCTGAGGAGATGGTCATCGTCTGCTCAGGTGGGTGTCCCGAGAAGGGCCGGGGTGCTGGTGCCCCGAGCAGCCCCCAGCCCGGTCCTTCCGTGCCCGCAGGCAGCCGGCGGGTGAGGCTGGCAGGCGGTGCCGGGCGCTGCGCCGGGCGCGTGGAGGTCTATGCCGGTGGCACCTGGAGCAGCGTGTGCCAGGAGCGCTGGGACCTGCGGGCCGCCGCCGTTGTGTGCCGGGAGCTGGGCTGTGGCGCGGCACTGGAGGCCCCCGGCTCGGCGCGCTTCGGCCCCGGCGCGGGGACAGCGTGGCCGTACGTGGTTGAGTGCGCCGGGAGCGAGGAGTCTCTCTGGGAATGCCCACGCTCGGAACAGCGCGAGTGCGAGCGCGGGGCCGGGGCCGGGGCCGTCTGCTCAGGTGAGTGTCGGGTGTCCCCGGGGCCGGGAGCAGCAGAGCCCCCCGGGGGGTTCCCGTCCGTGCCGTGACCCCCCCGCACCCCTCGCAGAGCAGCTCTCCCTGCGGCTGGCGGGCGGGCGCGGGCGCTGCAGCGGGTACCTGGAGCTGCTCCACAACGGCACCTGGGGCCGCGTGTGCGCCACCGGCACCAGCCCCGGCACCGCCGCCGCCGTCTGCCGGCAGCTGGGCTGTGGGGACGGGGGGCAGCTGGCACCCGTACCCGCCCAGCAGCCGGCCCCCGCCTGGCTGGCCTGGGTGGGCTGCGAGGAGGGGGCCCGCTCGCTCTGGGGGTGCCCCTCGGCACCCTGGCACCTGCAGGCCTGCGGCCCCGGAGGGGACACCTACGTGGCTTGTGCGGAGGACAGTGACAACCCCAGCGAGACAGCCAGCACCCCGTGCCCGGACGGGGCCACCTGCACAGGTAGCTCTGCCCGTGCCAGCAGCCCCCCCGCCGGGCCGGCTGGGATCCCCCTGCCCTCACTGCCTGGCCGTGTCCCCACAGCTGTCCCCAGCAGCAGCGGCCCTGCGGTGGCCAGGGGGACTGTGCCGGTGGCAGTGGTGCTGTGCGTGGTCCTGGGGACGCTGCTGTGCCTGGCCCTGGGCGCCCTGGCCGTGCTGATATGCCGTGCCCGCGCTTGGCGCCGAGGTGGGTCCCGGCGGGTGGGTGCCGGGGCAGAGCCGCTTTGGGGGTTCAGGGGCTCCCCCCGTGTGGAACGGCTCGGAGGGTGGGCAGTGGGTGACCCCGGTGCCACCCACGGTGCCCACGGCCCTGGGAGAGCGCTGCCTCTTGTTGCAGGTGCCGGCAGAGCCGTGGGTGCCATCCCCGACGCCATCTACGAGGAGCTGGACTACAGAGCGATGCCGGAGTACCAGGAGGTGCCCAGTCGCCCAGGTCGGTGCAGCCCCCGTGCCCCAGCTCTGCCCGGACAGGGGGGCTCTGCCCCACAGTCCCACCGCGGCAGCGGGTCCTGGTGGCACAGCACTGGCTCCTCCCCGTGGTGTGGGGGGTCCCTGGGTCCCATCACAGCCGTGCTCTGTGGCTGAGGTTGTGTCACCCGCGGTGCCGCCTCTGGACACCCCCAACACTCTGTTTTCCCCCTGCAGGTTCCCCGCGGGAGGGCTCAGTGAAGAAGCTGCTGTGTTACACCGGGGACAGCGTGGAGGGGAGTGACACCGGGGCAGCCCCAGGTAGGGGCACAGGGCAGGAACCCAGCGGGGAGCGCTGGGGACAGGGGACACGGCAGGGCTGGGGAGCTGAGGGGACACGTCCCCCCTCGTTAGTGGGCAGAGAAGCATCGCCCTTCCCTGAGGGACCAAGGGACACCAACACATCCCTGGTGGCACAGCGAGAGCGGGATGGCACAGCCATAGGGGGATGGCACAGCCGGAGGGGGATGGCACAGCCAGTCCCTGCCATGGCCACCGGGTCAGTGCCATGTACCCCGTGCCAGTCCCAGCCTCCCCTGCCCTGCCTGGGCATGGAACCCCGGACGGCTACGATGATGCCACAGCTGGAACCTCGGATGGCTACGACGATGCCATGGCTGGAACCCTGGATGGCTACGACGATGCCATGGCTGGAACCCTGGATGGCTACGACGATGCCACGGCCGTGCCAGAGGAGTCCCCCGCTCCCAGCACTGGGGACATCTCCGAGGGGGTGGCACAGAGGGGCTGGATCTGTGTCCCACCCACAGGTAAGAGGTACCACAGCTGCCCTATCTGCCCTGGAGAGCCACTGCACAGGGGTTTGGCTACGGTGGCGAGCTGGGATCCATCAGCAGATCCACAGAGGCTGCAGAAACACAGAAACACCCCAGGTGGGGTCTGGAGGGGGGACACGGAACTGTCCCCCTCAGGCACCTGCCTTTGCTGTCCCCAAGGTGGGAGCTGCCCCCCTCCAAGTCCCCCCGGAGCCACAAGGGACCCCCCGGGACAGCCCTCGGGGCACAGGGACTGTGATGATGTCGGCACCGGCGCCCCGGGGATGTTGCAGTGAGGATGTCCCGGCCACGTCCCATCCCTGGGGACACGTGTGCAGGGTAGGGGGCTCTGTGTCATCATCTCTGATAATGTCATTTGGGGCACTCCGGTGTCACTGGGGGGGTGATGTTGTGGTGGAGAATATGAGTGGGGAATCAAGGGGGTCATGTGGGTTCCCCCAGAAGGGAGTGGACAGCCCAAAAATGCCTAAAAATTCATAAGGAGGGGTTGTGTGTCTGTAAAATACTAACACCTTCTAAATTTGTTATTTTTAAATCTATTGATGAATAATATCAATTCATATGAAAACTGATTTCAAAATAAAACCCCCTACCTGTTATAATATTTACAGGATTTTGAGATATGAGAAATTCCAAACGTGGATCCACAGGGTTTGAAAATTAAAATAAAACTTTTGTACGAATACGTTAAACACTGAAGGGCTGGAAAATGCGAGGCAGGCACTCGCTGTGCAGCAGCAGGGGCAGCTCGGTGTGTCGGGGGTTGTTCCTGTCCCCTCCCTGTCACCCCAGGGCGGTGGCACCGAGCGGGGAAGGAGCGGCCGGGCCGGGCTGGGGCCGGGGGAGTTCCCGGGGCACCCGGGACTTGTGGTCTCCCGTCTCTCCCGGGGGGGTAAAATGAACATTTTGAGTTAAAACCGAGGCAATTAGTGAAGGACATTCTGCAGGGGAAATCGAGGTTCTCCCAGCGGGACAGGAAGGGACAATTCTGGGGTAAAACCTGAGCTGGGCAGGGGAGGTTTGGGGGTCAAACCTGAGTTCCTGTGCAGGGGGCAGAAGAGGGAAAAGCAGAGGCAAATTGGGAGGGGGAGCAGAGGTGACATTTTCCATAGAATTGCTGAGGTAATTTGGATGAAACAAAATCACCTTTTTTGTGGGGTGAATCCAGGAGTAGCTTAGCGAGGAAAAAGGAGCCTTTCTGAGAGAAAGGCTGGGAACTCATTGATGACCGAGGCAGAATTTTGGACAGAAAACTTGGGCTTCCTTAGAGGGGACAGAGGTGACCCTTTTAGCTGAAAACTGGGGGTAATTTAGAGGGGACACGACCACTGTTTTATGTAGGAAAGGGGGGGGTGATGTAGAGGGGAGAAAGGTGGCATTTCAGAGGGAGTGGCTGAGCTGGTTGGTAATGGCCGAGATGGACTGCCAGCTGCAGACTGAGCCTGGGGCCTGAATACTTTCCAGTCAGCAGGGGCTGTTCCCAAATGCCATCCCCTGGCTCATAACTCGGTAAGATTGTGTTCCTCCAAGCCAACCCCCAGGTGCAGCTTTGGTGCTCCTGTGTGCACCTCTCGCCTTTGCCTCCTGAGACCATCCCTGTGTTGCAGCTCAATAAAGTCCATTTTGGTGTTTATTGGTTTTGATTAGTGCGTGTAACAAAAGTACTGCTCAGTTTTCCTAAACTATTCCCCTCCTTCAATAGCTGCATCATTGGTCCAAAATTTATGTTCCTGACAATCCTTTTCCAGCAGGAAACACCATTTTCCTTTTCCGGGTTGTTGGCAGGGCGGGGCCGCGCGGAGGGAACGGGGGCGGGGCCGCGCCGAGGGGCGGGGCCGCAGGGCCGGGCGGGCTGGGATTGGGCGGAGGCGCTCGAGCGCTGATTGGGCAGCGCTGCCGGGCCGCGGTATAAAGGGCCGGCGGGGCGGGTGCGGGCGGTTGTGTGTGAGGGCTGAGGGTGCGGCTCCGCTGCTGCCCGGGCTGCGGAGGGGAGAGCGCCTTGGCCGCTGGGTTTGTGACCGGGGGAACTGGGGGGCGTTTAGGGGCGCGTTGTGCTGGGCAGGGGGGGCCGGGTGAGCCCGTTACCTGCCGGGTAACCCCGGGGGAGCCGTGGCAGGGCTGCGGGGCTGTTGCTCTCTGGGTGTCTCAGGGTTTGCTTCGGAATCCCAAAGCCTTTCCCCGTGCAGGGTTAGGAGGCAAAGACTGGTCTCTCGGCAAAGACTTAGTTTCTTGGTGCTGCATTAATGCTCTTTGCTCCTTCTCTGTCCAGCCGTGCCCTCCCTGGGGCTCAGCTCAGGTCCGTGCCCAGCGGCTGGTGGAGTGTGGCGAGTTGTGCTTCCTGCCGGGCGGGAGCTGCCTTGGGAAGCTGCTCTGTCCCCACGGCTGTGCCGAGCTGGGAGCTTGGACAGGTAAGGGCAGGGCCCGTCCTGCCGGTGAGAATTGGGTTTGGCTGGGGGAGGATGGAATGGAGTGTGTGCCTGTTAACTCCACGGAGAGCCAACAGCTGGGAGAGACCCCGAGCAGGTTTGGTGCCACGAGAGCAGCTTCAAAAGACCTTGAGTGTTGGAGAAATGTCCAGGAAAACTGGTTTCCTTTTTGCAAGGACAGGGGGTTGCTTTGCTCTCTAGCAAGAATACTTACCTTGGGATGTGCAGGGTGAGGAAATGTTGGCCCCGTGTGGGCTGGAGCAAAGGTGTGTGGGTGGCTGTGTGTGACAGCCGTGGGTGTGCAGGAAGGGGGTTCTGGTGCCATTGGAGCTGCCAGGGAGCCAAAAAGGGCACAGTTGTCTGAAAAAGGCAAAAGCTCTGTTGGTCTCTCTTGACATCTGCACCAAAGGAGATGCAAATTTTCCCCTTCTTGGTTGCACAAAGCTCCCAGCAAAGGAAGCTTTGGATTCCTCCCAAGCTTTATGCTAAAGGTTTCCTTGCTCTCTCAGCAGGATGTCGAGTGCCACCGTGTCCCTGAGGTCACCCTTTCTCCTGTTGGGAGAGCACGAGGTGGATGGAAAGGATCCCCAGGCATCTGCAGGCACAAGGGACTCGTACAGCTGTGCTTTTCCTACAGCCCTCATGAGAGGGACTTTGAGGGTACCATGGGTAATGTGCCAGCTCTCCTGCTGGAGTTTTGTCTGCTATTTTTGAACACAAAGAAGAGAATTAAAGTCAGATCTGTTCTGGAGCGTGTTACACTTGTGCAAAGCTCCTTCCCTCTGTTTATGTTCTGTTTTGGAAAGCACAGCCTGGGGTTCCTGAGCACTTCCTGTTAAATGATTCCATGAAAATAATTTTGTACTGAAAGTGGAAAGGAGCTGTCTGTTGGAGGTCAGATGTCCATGATAAAAGCTTTATGTTTTTTCAGTCAGTAAGATCCCAAAATATCTTAGAGTGTAGGAATGCCTGGCTTCTAAAACATACCAATTGAGTCTTAGAGGCTTATCTGAAGAGCTGATTTCAGGCAGCAGAATTGGCCCCCAGGAGGGACTCTGTGCCTGCTCTCCCGTGGCTCCAAGGGATCTCTGGCCCTTCACGCCGGCACCGAGATTTGCTCGGGAAGGGCCTCAGATCCCCGGACCAGTCTGGGACACAGGCAAGATCCCCCTGCAGTTTAGGACCAACTTGGCCCCCTGGAGGGACAGTGCTGTGGGTGCCCCCCGGGTTGGGGCACCCCGAGGACTCCAGCGCGCACCGAAAGGATTCTTCGGGGAGATCCTCGGGGTGCCCGGCCCTGGGGACCTCAAAGCAAGGTCCCTGCAATGGATTCAGGCATTGCTGAGAGTATCCCAGGGGTCCCTGTCCCTGCTAGACATGGAGCTCTCTAATGGGCTGGAATTGGGTGATAAAAGTGGTGCTCCAAGTGCCAAAGAAATGTGGGATTGGGATGAAGAAATGAGCAGGGAGGGTCCAATTGGCTGTTTTCTCTGGAATGGGACTGTAAGAGCTGCAGGAGTGCCAGGTGTGTGTTCCAGTCCCCAGCATTTGGTTTGCACCTGTCCTGCTCAGACACAGGTCCAACTTGCTCAGTCCTTAACACAGTAGAGGGAGAATTAAGGACTGGCACTGTTAAGGTGTTTGGTGTGACAGGGGTTAAACTGGGAAAACATTGGGTGATTCCTCAGTTTGTCTGTTTGCCAAACTCCCCCAAACCTGTGCTAGGAAGAGACTGATTGGAAAAGTTGAGGCAGAAAGGAAATTGAAAACTGGGGCTATTGACACTGTAATTGCTGAAACTCAATGTGTCCAAACAGCAGCTCTTGTTGTGCAGGGAATAACTCCTGTCAGCAGCAAGGTCCCGACTGAAGTGGCAGCTGCAGTTGTTGCTGTGGTGTGGGCCAGTGGAACTGCAGGAGAGTGGAAGAGGGCAGAACCTGTAGGTATTACCCCTGGTGTGGGATCTCTCCTGGTAAGGCCAAGCCAGTATCCTTTAAAATCAGAATGCCAGCCTGGATTGGTTGCAGGAACAGCTGAATTTGCTCCTCCTGGTTTGCTTGTAGAAGGTGAATGCCGGAACCTGCCAAGGAAACCACTGGCCAAGGGGATTGATTAGTGCAGGACCTGAGAGAACCCCCTGAAATGACAACCTGGAGTAGTTTCCAGGATTAGATTGCAAAGATGGTCTTGGCTGCATGTCCTTGAGCAAGGAAAGCCAAGAAAGCTTTGCTTTTGCAGGAGAAACTGGGGCAAGCGGGCAGGAAGCAAAGAAGCCCCCTGACTCCTCCCTGAGCCCCAGGCAGCCCCTGAACTGCCTCCCTGGGAATGGTGGGACGGGCTGGACTCTGGATTGCTCCCTCTGCATGTGTGGTAAGACTGTTAGGGCAACTTTTCCAAGAGCCTGTAAGCATTTGCTGCCTTGGCTAGATGGTGCAAGGGCAGCCTTTAAGCAGCTGAAGCCTTCCCTGAGGAGAGCTCTGGGTCTGCCAGATGTGTGAGAACTGTTGGCAGCATCTTTGGTGGGGAGGGCAAAGAAAGGCCAAGGTGTGCAGTGACCCCCCTGAGAAGGGACTTTGAGTTAATGGCATCCCTGCAAGTGAACTTTGTGGGCTGTTCCCCCTGTAGGGCAGGTGATAGTCCCAGCTACAGGGATGGGAAAAATAGTTAAAAGGGAGCCCCAAAAGCTGGAAATCCTCCTGGAGGCTCCTGGCAAAGAGAGTTTGCTGAGTTCCCCCTGACAGAAGGACAGTGACAGCTTTTGAGTGCTGGTAGATCCTTTGAATAGATAGCCTTGAGTGTGTCCTTGTTGCCCCAGCAGGCCTTGTCCAACTCCCCATATTGCAGGGGATATAGATATTAAAGTTGAAAATGCTCTTCCTAATCCTTTGTTGTCTTGAGGCTCTCCCCTGAGGAACTGCAGGAACTCCTGGTGCCGCCTGGGCCGATGGATTGGACGCCCCAGCCCCTCCGTTCCTGCCCAGCCCCTGGGGCCGTGTCCAGTGGTGGCACTGCCAGCCCTGCAGGGGAAGTGGGAAGGGCCTTTGCAGGTCCTGTGGGTCACATTTATAGCAGGTAAAATTGCAGTAAAAGGACCTGGGGTCTGTTATTCTTGAGTTCAGAAAGCTCCTTTTGGTTGGTGAGCAGAACCAAGTGGATCCTTCAGAGTTCCCATCTGTGTTTGTGTGTCAGCCTGTGTTAGGATTCAGGGCTGTCAGTTGTTGTCACTGAGGAGTCAAACTGTGCTTGAAATAAGGAGACCCTGGCCTGATGGCCCAGTGTCAAGGCAAAAGGGGGAATGATATGTGAGTGTTGAGATGTAACAAGGGCTAATCCTTTTTGCAGTGGGATGGAGCCTGGAAAGTGCCCAGAGCTGAGCCCAGGGATTGAAAGGGACCAAGCAAGGGAGGTGAAGAAAGAAGGAAGAAGGGAAGTGAGGCAGCAGCCAAGCAGCACCAAGTTGCTGTGTAAGCAGGTGAGTTGTGCTGAGGTTCCTCAGGCAGGCCCTGAGGACTTGGAGGGCTCCAGACAGAGCAGACCTGGGAAGGCCCTCGGTGAAGCCCCTCAGAAACCTGAAGCCCCTGAGCCTTTTTGGGAGCCTGAGCTATTGCAGCCCTGGGGATGGCTTTGGTTTCCTTCTCTCCTCAGAGTAAAACTGTCCAGGGGAGTCTGTGATCTCCCTGATTGTTGTATCATAACTGAAACTTGGAAGAAAGTTGACCTTGTGTCATTTCCCAACTGACTTGGCCGGGTTGAACCAGCAGTGCCAGATTGTTGTGGTGTGCAGGTTATTGTTTGTGTCTGAGCAGTTTGGGGTTGATTTGCCAAGGGAGGCCATGGAATGTTCTGGTATTTTTGTCCCAATATTTGTAGGCAGTGCCCTGGATTAGTTGATTTCTGCCTCACTCCCTGATGTCTGAGTTTGGAGATGTACCAAGAACTGGTAGTTTTTGCAGTGGGATGTTCCCTAGAAACTGCACAGAGCTGAGCCAAGGAACTTAAAGGGACTGAGCAAGCAAAGGCAAGAAAGAATGAAGAAGGGAACTGAGGCAGCAGCCAAGCAGCACCAAGTTCCTCTACAACCAGGTGAGTTGTGTTGAAGTTGCTAAGGTGGTCACTGAGAACTTTGGGGGCTGCAGGCACAGGTGACCACCAGAGACCCCCGATGGAGCCCCTCAGAGACCTTATAAGGGTTTGTGTATGTGGGAACAGGTGTTGGGAATGTCCTGAATGTGGAACAGGAATGCAGGGAAGGAAAATGAACCCTCCTGTAATGCTGACCCCTCCCATCAGCTGCAGTGGAGACCCCTCCGTGTGCCCTTTGGGAGCGGATTGCCAGGACCCCCGTGGGGCTGGGATCATGGCAGGGTGTTGTAAGCAAGGAATGCCTGGCTTGGAAAACTCACCAGCTGAGCCTTAGAGGCTTCTTTGAAGAGCTGATTTCAGGCAGCAGAATTGGCCCCCAGGAGGGACTCTGTGCCTGCTCTCCCGTGGCTCCAAGGGATCTCTGGCCCTTCACGCCGGCACCGAGATTTTCTCGGGAAGGGCCTCAGATCCCCGGACCAGTCTGGGACACAGGCAAGATCCCCCTGCAGTTTAGGACCAACTTGGGCCCCCTGTAGGGACAGTGCTGTTGGTGCCCCCCGGGTTGGGGCACCCCGAGGACTCCAGCGCGCACCGAAAGGATTCTTCGGGGAGATCCTCGGGGTGCCCGGCCCTGGGGAGCTCAAAGCAAGGTCCCTGCCATGGATTCAGGCATTGCTGAGAGTATCCCAGGGGTCCCTGTCCCTGCTAGACATGGAGCTCTCTAATGGGCTGGAATTGGGTGATAAAAGTGGTGCTCCAAGTGCCAAAGAAGTGTGGGATTGGGATTAAGAAATGAGCAGGGAGGGTCCAATTGGCTGTTTTCTCTGGAATGTGACTGTGAGAGCTGCAGGAGTGCCAGGTGTGTGTTCCAGTCCCCAGCATTTGGTTTGCACCTGTCCTGCTCAGACACAGGTCCAACTTGCTCAGTCCTTAACCCAAGAGAGGGAGAATGAAGGGCTGGCCGTGTTCAGGTGATTGGTGTGACAGGGGTCAAACTGGGAAAACATTGGGTGATTCCTCAGTTTGTCTGTTTGCCAAACTCCCCCAAACCTGTGCTAGGAAGAGATGGACTGGGAAAGTTGAGTCAGAAATGAAATTGAAAACTGGAGCTATTGACACTCTAATAGCTGTAACTAAACGTGTCCAAGCAGCAGCTCTTGTTTTGCAGGTGTCATAGTTTGAAATTGGCTCCCCTTGAGAGTTTGAGAGGCTCAGAGGTGTTTGGGTGCCAGGGCAGTGTTCCCTGGAGAGCCAGTCACCACTCATGTTGTTTGCTTCTGCTCAAAATCATAGAGCACAGCACGGGAAGCTGTTGGCAGTCCTGTCTTGGTTGTTTTGCTGTTGGTGTCTGCTGTGTGTAGGTGTTGAAGGCCAGGGGGTGGCTGGGCTCTCTCTCTCTCACCCTCCGGGGGGAAGAGGGGGGCCCTGCAGCCCCCCCAACTCTGCTTGGGCCAGAGTTAAGTGGCAGCATTTGGAGTGTGTGCTGTGAAGGAAGAGATTCACAGCCCCTGAGGGAAGAGGAGAGAGGCAGGCTCTGCAGCCAAGCCCTCTCTCCCCCCTCCTTTTCTGCAGGGAAGCTGTAGAGGGGGGCTCTTCCTTTCCCTGCACTGTAGGTGCAGGAGAGGCTCACCACTGAAGCTGAGCCAGGAGACTGGGCCGTGGAGGTAGGCCCGGCGCTCGGGGAAGAGTCCCAGGTGGAATTGGAGCCGAGCCCAGAGCTGGGGAGCTGCTGCCAAAGCTGAGCGGGGGCAGCCGAGAACTGCTGTGGAGGAAGGAAGATTCCAGGCCGGGGACCTGGATAAGCTGCACTGCAGCAGCCCCTGGACCAAGGGGAGACCCCCAGAGGGAGAGATCACCAGCAGCAGAAGAGCAAGGACTCACAGCTGTCTTCTTGGAGTTGGTGAGGAGAGAAACTGAACAACCAACTGGAACTTGGGGAGGGGGGAGCGCTCAGGAGCCCAGAACACTCCCACAGCAAAAGACTGTGTTAGGTATCAGCCTTGAAAAGCTGCTCCTGGACTAAAGTAGTTAAAAGGAGGGGCTTGAAAGGACTGAGTGACAGAAATGTAATATATATATATATAGTTGCCTTCAGTTTATATAGTATTTGTTTGTGTAAATAAATGTATATACTTCCCCCTTCCCCTACAGAAGCCTCTGGTCTGAAAGTTTCTCTCCGGTGTTTGGATAAATTGTGTGAAGGGTGGGGCGAGGCCTGCAAATTGGATTTTACATTTCTAATGTGGCTCAAACTGCCACATAGGGCCAAGCCAGTATCCTTTAAAATCAGAATGCCAGCTGGATTGGTTGCAGGAACAGCTGAATTTGCTCCTCCTGGTTTGCTTGTAGAAGGTGAATTCAAGAACCTGCCAAGAAACCAATGGCCAAGGGGATTGATTAGTGCAGGACGTGAGAGAACCCCCTGAAATGACAACCTGGAGTAGTTTCCAGGATTAGATTGCAAAGATGGCCTTGGCTGCATGTCCTTGAGCAAGGAAAGCCAAGAAAGCTTTGCTTTTGCAGGAGAAACTGGGGCAAGCGGGCAGGAAGAAGAGAAGCCCCGTGACTCCTCCCTGAGCCCCAGCAGCCCCTGAACTGCCTCCCTGGGAATGGTGGGACGGGCTGGACTCTGGATTGCTCCCTCTGCATGTGTGGTAAGACTGTTAGGGCAACTTTTCCAAGAGCCTGTAAGCATTTGCTGCCTTGGCTAGATGGTGCAAGGGCAGCCTTTAAGCAGCTGAAGCCTTCCCTGAGGAGAGCTCTGGGTCTGCCAGATGTGTCAGAAGTGTTGGAAGCATCTTTGGTGGGGAGGGCAAAGAAAGGCCAAGGTGTGCAGTGACCCCCCTGAGAAGGGACTTTGAGTTAATGGCATCCCTGCAAGTGAACTTTGTGGGCTGTTCCCCCTGCAGGGCAGGTGATAGTCCCAGCTACAGTGATGGGAAAAATAGTTAAAAGGGAGCCCCAAAAGCTGGAAATCCTGCTGGAGGCTCTTGGCAAAGAGAGTTGGCTGAGTTCCCCCTGACAGAAGGACAGTGACAGCTTTTGAGTGCTGGTAGATCCTTTGAATAGATAGCCTTGAGTGTGTCCTTGTTGCACCAGTGGGCCTTGTCCAACTCCCCATATTCCAGGAGATAGACGTATTAAAGTTTGAAATGCTCTTCCTAATCCTTTGTTGTCTTGAGGCTCTCCCCTCAGGAACTGCAGGAACTCCTGGTGCCGCCTGGGCCGATGGATTGGACGCCCCAGCCCCTCCGTTCCTGCCCAGCCCCTGGGGCCGTGTCCAGTGGTGGCACTGCCAGCCCTGCAGGGGAAGTGGGAAGGGCCTTTGCAGGTCTTGTGGGTCACATTGATAGCAGGTAAAGTTGCAGTAAAAGGACCTGGGGTCTGTTCTCCTTGAGTTCAGAAAGCTCCTTTTGGTTGGTGAGCAGAACCAAGTGGATCCTTCAGAGTTCCCATCCGTGTTTGTGTCTCAGCCTGTGTTAGGATTCAGGGCTGTCAGTTGTTGTCACTGAGGAGTCAAACTGTGCTTGAAATAAGGAGACCCTGGCCTGATGGCCCAGTGTCAAGGCAAAAGGGGGAATGATATCTGAGTGTTGAGATGTAACAAGGGCTAATCCTTTTTGCAGTGGGATGGAGCCTGGAAAGTGCCCAGAGCTGAGCCCAGGGATTGAAAGGGACCAAGCAAGGGAGGTGAAGAAAGAAGGAAGAAGGGAAGTGAGGCATCAGCCAAGCAGCACCAAGTTGCTGTGTAAGCAGGTGAGTTGTGTTGAGGTTCCTCAGGCAGGCCCTGAGGACTTTGAGGGCTCCAGACAGAGAAGACCTGGGAAGGCCCTCAGAAACCTTCTAAGGGTAGGTGTGTATGGTGATAAGTGTTGGAAAATGTCCTGAATGTGAAACAGCAATGCAGGGAAGGGAAACGAACCCTCCTGTAATGCTGCCATATCAGCTGCAGTGGAGACCCCTCCGTGTGCCCTTTGGGAGCTGATTGCCAGGACCCCCGTGGGGCTGGGATCATGGCAGGGTGTTGTAAGCAAGGAATGCCTGGCTTCTAAAAGTCCCCAGCTGAGTGTTAGAGGCTTCTTTGCAGAGCTGATTTCAGGCAGCAGAATTGCCCCCCAGGAGGGACTCTGTGCCTGCTCTCCCGTGGCTCCAAGGGATCTCTGGCCCTTCACGCCGGCACCGAGATTTTCTCGGGAAGGGCCTCAGATCCCCGGACCAGTCTGGGACACAGGCAAGATCCCCCTGCAGTTTAGGACCAACTTGGGCCCCCTGTAGGGACAGTGCTGTGGGTGCCCCCCGGGTTGGGGCACCCCGAGGACTCCAGCGCGCACCGAAAGGATTCTTCGGGGAGATCCTCGGGGTGCCCGGCCCTGGGGAGCTCAAAGCAAGGTCCCTGCCATGGATTCAGGCATTGCTGAGAGTATCCCAGGGGTCCCTGTCCCTGCTAGACATGGAGCTCTCTAAAGGGCTGGAATTGGGTGATAAAAGTGGTTCTCCAGGTGCCAAAGAAGTGTGGGATTGGGATGAAGAAATGAGCAGGGAGGGTCCAATTGGCTGTTTTCTCTGGAATGTGACTGTGAGAGCTGCAGGAGTGCCAGGTGTGTGTTCCAGTCCCCAGCATTTGGTTTGCACCTGTCCTGCTCAGACACAGGTCCAACTTCCTCAGTCCTTAACACAACAGAAGGAGTGTGGCTCTTTGTTTTCCTCTGTCTTTGGTGAGGTGTTGACTCAGTACCTTTCTTGGGGGCATCTCTTCATCCAAGAGCAGCTGCAATTCACCTGTAAGGGCCTGGTTATCTTTTCTGCTTCTCCCATCTTGCCCAGGAGATGGAATTCTAGTGCTACAGAGCAGATGGCTCGTGGTGCTCCCAAAAGGAGCCTTTGTGCCTTCAGGGTAAGTTGTGTTGGCACTGGAGCTGTTGGGAGAAGCGGAGGGTTGTCAGGGAGAGGCCTGGAATGATGTTACTGTGGCACAGATGTTGCTCCCTGGCAGGTTCTTGGGTTGGATTCCTTGGCTGCCACTTGGCAAGGCCTGGAAGGGCCTCAGTTGTGTAGGGAACCAAACCTGGAATGGGAAAGCAAAGGGGGGGGAGGTTCTGGTTTCAGAAAGGATCATTGCCTTCTCTTTCTGCAGGGACACTGAGCTGGTCCAGCTGTGGCAAAAAGAGCAAGTGTCCTGTGAAGGTTTGGAGCAGTCTGGAGGGTTCCTCGTGCCCAAAGGAGCCTGGAAGTGCAGCCCTGGAGGCATGAGGAATAATGACAAGTGTCCCATTTCTTGTGAAGCTCAACTATGTAAAACATTTAGGGAGCTAAAATTCCACAGCCTTGAGTTGTTGGGCCCCAAATAATAGTGGAGGGGGAGAGGCAGAGAATGCCCCTGCTGCTGGGGCTGAACTGTGTGCAGTGAGGGGGCAGGACTTGGCCCTGATGCCTGAGTGCTCTCCAGCCCCCAGGCTGGATCCCAGCTGTCAGCCCCTGGCTCCAGCCCTTGAGAAGATGGTGTTCCTGCCAGCCCAGCTGCTGGGCTGGTGGTCCTGGGGGCACCTCCTGCCCTGGCCTGCTGGGAAGGTGTTTGTGCTGCAGCTCAATAAAGTCCCTTTCAGTGGTGATGGTGTCACTTTGGTGTCAGTTCCTCTCCCCTCTTCCCCTGCCCCCGTGGCTGCATCACTGCCTTGTGCCTAAATGAACTCTTCCCCTGCAGCAGTTCCCTGCTGCTCCCGGAGAGGGTGGAGCTGAGGCCCCTGAGCCAAGGGAAAAAGGATCCATCCAAGGCAGGCCCGTGCTCCCCCCCTGCCTTCCTCCAGCCTCCCGTGTTTCCAGTTCCCCTCCCTGCTGGACACACAGCCTGTTCCCAAACAACCCCTGTTCCTGTTCTCTCTCCCGTGTCTCCCCTCCCAACTCCCCTCCTATGATCTCCAGCTGCCCAGGCCCCTGGTTTTGAGGGGCATTCCTGGGCTGCTGCTCCCCCATTCCTTAGAACTGAAGTGCCCAGAGCCCCAAGTGCAGAGAGGTCTGCAGGGAATCAGTGCCAAGAGCTGCCCGTGCCTGCCTGTGTTCCTGCAGTTCTCCTTCCTGCTCTCCCTGGGCTGGAGAGACCTGCCTGCCCTGGGTTTATTGGAGCAGAGGGGTGGGATTCCATTGGTGCAGAAGGGATGTTCACAGACACTCCTTTTCTGACAGGCAGTGCCATTTCCCTTCTGCCTTTCCCAAGTTTTCCCAAGTGCTGCCCAGCCCGGGGATCCGTGTGCTGGGACAGTGATTGGCAGGAGGGAGGGGAGCCTTGGCCTCACCTGCCCAGCTCAGGTGGGTGGCACAGAATTGGGGTGGGCTGGCAAGGCATGAACACATTTCTGAGTTCTGGAGTGCCTTGAATCCTTTCCCTGCCAGGTTTCTCTCCCTCCTTTCCTGGGCTCCAGCATCCCAGGTGTCTCTTCCCTTGTCCAAAGTCCAGTGGCAGAGGATGGACTGACTCACAAGGGGGGTTTGGAATGAAAAGGGTTCTGTTCTAATGGGGTAAGGAATGCAGTAAGAAAGGTGAGCCTCCTTTTAGTGCCTGAAAGAGATAGGAATGGAAATGCTGGAAAAGGCCACATTTTATTTTTTGTCCCCCCTGGATTTTTCATGGCTCAAACTCTCTAGTGAGCAATTGAACAGAAGGGTGAAGGGCAGGAGCCTTTGACTTGCCCAGTGCCCTTAATTGCCTTGTTCTCCTCTCTTCCAGGCCAGGCCAAAGCCCTGATCCAGCCCAGCTCTGCCAAGTGCCCTGGGCTGGGAGCAGCCAAAGGCAAGAGGCTGCAGCCCCGCCGGCCGGGCTGGGGGCTCCTGGTGCTGCCCGTGGGGGGGGGTAAGTCAGAGGGACACCTTTCTCTCCTCCTGCTGTTGGCATTTGCTCCCTGGGCACTGGATGTGTAAGGGAGGACGGAGTAGCAGGGAAGGGCAGTGTTTCCAGACTGTCTGAATGTTGCCCCAGGTCTGGGATGGAGCAGCCATGGGGGTGGTTGGGTTTGGCCTGGGCCGGTCGGGATCAGCCATAAAGGACCCACCAGACCCTGAACCCTCACTGGACATGTCCAGCCCCTCAAGTTGTTAATTTTCAATAGAGGACAAGTAATTGGTAATTGCTTCTGATCTGTGGAGAATCTCCTTTGGGATGATCAACCAGAGAGTGTATCAGTGCAAAGCATCCTTTTGGGTCTTTTATTTGTTTGTGATTTCCTCTCTGGCTTCAATGAGTTTGGTGTGCTCCTGTTAAGGAAGCAGCGTGTTTTTATCTGGAAATTTGGGGTGGTTTGCTTTGTTTAGGGTGCTTTTTCCCCCACTGACTCGGGCCTTCCGTGCATAGTCCGTGTTGTCCTACAGGACTGTTCTGGTTCTGGGTCAGAGAGAGAGAAGGGAAGTGGCTTTTCCTCATCTGGAATGTTTCCAAGCAGAAGTGGGACATTGTCCTGCCCCTCCCCAAAGCACTGCAGGCACCTGGGAGTAGCTCAGGGCTGGCCCAGTTCTCTGAGACAGAACCAGGGGGGAGAGGTTTAAGTATTAATCACATCTCTGGTGTCCCTTGGTTGCAAAGATTGGGTCCTCCAGTCCCAGGGTGTTAAGGAAAACAAGGAACTCCTGTTCTTCCTGGCAAACCTTCTGTTATTGCTTGGCAGTGTTTGGGTTCTGTTGTCTGAGTTCCTGTCCAGGATCTTTCTAAGAGAACCTGTTAGAAATGTAGAGGTGGGGTTAGAATGTGGGTGTGTTCCCTACCCAACTGCCTCCAAGTCCTGATGGACTGGAGTGATGAGTGCTCTCAGCCCAGGTTATTTCTTACTATTGTGTGGCTTTCCCTCAGCTGTGGGTGAGGAATTGTGCCAGCAAGGCCTGTGTGCCCGTGGGTGTCTCCCGTGTGTGTCCGTGGGGCAGGGCTGGGACAAGGACTCGTGCAGGGACCCAGCTGGCACTGGAGCTGCTGCCATTCTGAGCCACTGCCAAGGGCTGGGGAGAGACCCTCTGGGAGGCTGTTCCCAGGGTTCCATTGGGAGCTGGATCTCCCTCCAGCTGCAGCAGCCAGGGGAGGGTTCTTCCTTGTGCAGCCCAGTGGCTTCTGCTCAGGCTGGCCCAGAGTGGGGCTGGGGCAGGTTCTCCAGGGAACTGGAGCCAGCCCTGAACGGGGCTCTGGAGAGCAGGAGCTGCAGGGACTGAGGTTTGCAAAGCTGGGCTGAAGTTTGTCAAAGCAGCAGAACATTCTCATTCCTGTGGGTCTGTGGAGTCCGTGTTGGTGCCCAGGAGAACTGGGTCAGACTGGGCTTTGTGCTCCGAGAGCTGCCCCCCTAAATGTGGCAGGCTGTGTGTGCTGGCAATGAAGTGCTGTCCCCAGAGGCTGATGGTTTCTGTCTCCAGGTGTGCCCAGGACGCTGCCAATGCCCAGGGATCTGCTCTGGGTCCAGGCTGTCCGTGCTGGAGGGCCCTGGTGGCTGCAGTCCCTGAGCCCGCAGAGACAGAGAGAGCCCCGGCCCGAGGGGCCTTTGGCCCCTTGTCCTGAATTTGGGGTGAGCCTGGGAGCGTGTGGAGGGTGAGAATGAGGGCTGTGCTTCCAGTGCATCATCCCTGGGAAGATCCTGTTGTTCCAGAGCGCCGGGGACAGTTTGGGCTTGGCAGCTTCAGAGCTGGGTCGGAGCAGCCCCTGGAAAGAATCAGGAGAGTGGAGGTTTGTCCCAGTGGTGCTTTCACACCCCACTGGACAGGCTGGGCTTTGTGTTTGAGGCTGTCCTGTATTTGCTCTGCAGATAAGGGGCCCTTCCCAATTCAGCCCAGCAGATCCCAAGGGCTCTGACAGGAATATTTGTTCTTTCCTTCCCTTTGGGATAACTTCATCTCCAAACTGCCATGAGCAATTCCTTAATTTCTGCTGGAGAAAACCAAGTGTCAGAGGCAGTTTGCCAAGGAGCCCAGAAGTGTCTTTGGAGCAGAGAGTGCTGCCAGCTGCGTGTGCCTGTCCCCAGCCTGGCACTGCCCACAGGGACACACTGGGCACTGACCATGAGAGGGAACAAACCCACTGCCTGCCAGAGGGTTTGTCCTGGGCCATCAGGCCTTGGGCAGGAATTGGACTGGGCAACTCCATCAGCTGCTCTTCCCTCCCCCACCAAGCCCCATCCCCTGGGCATTAATGACGTGCCCTGTGCCCAGCGCTCCCTGTTCACCCAACTGAAACCAGAGCAAGGCTTGCTTTGCTTGGAACAACTTAAAGTAACTTTAAAACAAAATAAATCACTTTTTTTGTTCTTTTTTTTCCTTTTAGATGCTGGAATTGCCTCTCTGGCTGTGTGCTGAGCTCTGGCTGCAGGGGACTGTCAGGCCTTGGTGGCTGTGAGTTCCTGTTCTTCTCCCTGGGAAACTGGAAAGAGTTCTTCATTAGATTGCAGAAATGTTTTCTGAAGCCTGTCCCCTTCTTTGTGCCTTTTGCTGACAGACCTTCTCTTTCTGCCTTTGCATGTACAGCTGTTCCCTGCTGTCCATTCCCTGGCCTGAATTCCTTGCAGCTCCCAGCTGGGGAAACCTGGGAGAACATGGCAGGGACAGAGGTGACATTTGTAGCTGCCAACTTGGGGTAATTTCGAGGGGCCCCAGCAACTGTTTGTGTAGGAAAAGGTGAGGTGCTGCAGAGGGGAGGGAGGTGGCATTTTGGAGGGGTCCCACTGAGGGGGAGTGGAGAGCCTGGGGCTGGAGTGTGAGTTCTTAAACAGGGAAGAAGGGAAGGATGCTTGGGAGGGAAACACTCAGGGAATGTGTAGGGATGGAAGGGAAATTTGGGGCGTCAGGAAGAGAAAATGGGTGATGTAGAGGAAGGGAAATGTTGGAGGTAAGAGTTGATGTCATCTGTAGAGGACAGAATGACCATTTAGAGATAAAGTGAGGCAGTCAGTGGTGGGCAGGTAGGGAAAATTTGTGTGTGTAAAATTTCAGGTCACCTGTAGCAGAGAGGATGTACCTCCTGCTGGACACTGAGGCAGTCAGGGGTGGGCAGGAGGGGAAACCTTTGGGGGTAAAACTTGAGGGAACGTCCAGGGCAGAGAGTGAATATTTTGAAGGATAAATGAGGTGCTCAGTGGTGGACAGCTGGGGAGTGTTTTAGGGTAAACTTGGGGTAGCCCACAGGGTAGAGAGTGAACATGTATTTGTAGAGAGGAGCTGATTACATGTGGGTAGGTAAGGAGAATTTTGGGAGTAGAATCTGTAGCAGAGAGAAGGAATACCTTGGGGTAAAGTGAGGCAGTCAGTGTTGGGCAGGGAGGGAAAATTTGTGTTTGTAAACTTTGAGGTCACGTGGAGCAGAGAGAATGTACACCATGAGGTAAACTGGGGTAATCAGTTGTGGACATATGGGGAAAATTACAGGGGTAAACCTTGAGGGAACGTCCAGGGCAGAGAATGAATATTTTGAGGTAAAACTTTGGGGGTTTTGAACGAGGTTATCTCCAGGGGAGAGAAAGGACATCAGGAGGTCAACTGAGGTAATCAGTGGTGGCCAGGTGGGGACATTTAGGGCAGAAATCTCTGAGGTAATCTCCAGGGTCCAGAATGAATCCTGAGAGGTGCAGAGGAGGCAATCAGGAGTGGACACCACAGCAGGCCAAGGGAAGGTTCTGGGGGTAAAATGTGTGGCAGTGTCTGGCAGAGAGAATGAACATTTTGGGATAAACTAAGGCAGTCATCAGTGGACAGGGAAAACTTGAGAAACCCTCCAGGGTGGAGAATGAATATTTGGAGGTCAAAAGGACGTAGTCAGTGGTGAGCAGGTAGGGAAAGTTTGGAGAGTAAATTTGAGGTGGTCTGTAGGGTAGAGCAGGAACATATTTAGGTATACATGAGGGGATCAGCTGTGGAGAGGTAGGGAAAATTTCGGGTGTCAAACTTAAGCAAATCTGCAGGGCAGAGAATGAATATTTGGAAGTCCAAAAGAGATAATCAGGAGTGTGCAGGTAAGGAAGACTTAGGGGGTTAAAAAGGAGATGATCTCTAGGGGAGAGAATGACTCTTTTGTGTTCAAGAAAAGGTAATCAGGAGTGGGCTGGAAGGGGAAACTTTGGGGATTTAAAAGGAGGTTCATTCTCTCCGGGGCAGGGAATGAACACATTGAGGTAAGCTGAGGTGATGAGTGGTGAGAGACACAGACAGTTGTGGGTGTTAAAGTTCAGGTAACCTGCTGGGAAGAGAAGGAAGGTGTTGAGGTGACCTGAGGGTCTCTGCAGTGGCCAAGCAGGGAAATGTTGGGCTGAGCCCTGAGTTGCTCCCGTGTGGGGCGGCTGCAGCGAGGCCGAGCCCTGGCCCTGATTTGCCAGCCATGGGCAGGGGGCTCTGTGCCAGCCGGGGGAGCAGCGGGGCCCCCGTGGCAGAGAGGGCAGGGGGGCTGTGGAGCTGCCCCGGGGGGAGCGGGGGGGCCTTTCCTGGGCCGCCTCCAGCCCCCCTCGATCCCCCCCCTTGGGGGGGCTGCGCTGCCCCCCAAGGCTGTTTGGGGCAGAGAGTGCTGCCAGCTGCGTGTGCCTGTCCCCAGCCTGGCACTGCCCACAGGGACACACTGGGCACAGACCATTGGCCCAAGTTGTGTTTGCACCAGCTGGGGCCAGAGGTGCCAGGCAATCCAAAGCAAACCCTGCTCAGCCTCCAAATCCCAGGGGAAGTTCTCCAAGCTGCTCATTGAGGGACTAAAGATACATTGAAATGGAACCGAGACACTACTAAGTTTCCTGGGAATCCCAGTATTGCTGTCCTAGAACTTTTAACAGCTTTTTAAGCTTTTTATGACAAGAATGGCTTTCTTCCTTTGGATGAGTCCCTCGGTAGGATTTGGGGTTTCTTTGGATTCTGAATCCCTCCCGGTGGCCCTGACACTGGTCAGGAGCTGGCAGGACAAACAGAGTCAGAGCTCCTGGCAGGCACAGGGGCTTTCCCCCAGAGTGGATCCAACTGCTGCCCCCCAGCCTGGCCAGGCGGGATCTGCTTTGGCTCCCGGCTTCTGCCAGAGACAGAACGTGTTCCCTTGATTGGAATGAGGATCCCGTAGCTTCATCTCCTGGAGGTTCCCTGGGCAGCTGATCCGCTCTATCCCGTGTCCTGCTCTCAGTTCCTGCCCAGCCAGAGCCAACTGTGCCAAGGGCACGAGCACTCCCAGCCTGGATAGGGAATGGGGGACTGGCTTGTGCACAATTCACCTAGAAAGTCAAACGAGGGGATTGTTGGAGTATCTGGTTCCTTAGGGAACCTGCTGGGAGTAGAGAAGCACAGCCCCAAACCTCCAGCTGTGGGTGGAGTCGTGGAACGTAAACCAGCACAAACCAATCCCCCAAAATGAACCGTGGGAGAGCAGGACCAAATAAGGGTCAGAGTCCCTGTGGAAAGGCCAAAGGAATCTTTTGGGACTTGGATTGTCCCCTTGGGAGATGCTGGTTTCTGGGACATAGAGAATGCCCTCCCTCAGGCTGCCAAGATCTCTCAGTGCAGCAGCTTTGGCCGACACAGCAGCACAAAGATTGTTCTCTGCGGGGGGCCCAGGTTTGGGTTCCGGTCTCAGCTTTGCAGGTTTAGATGACTTCTACCTACAGCCCGCAATTCCATGCTGAATTCCTGCTGGAATAACCTCCCAGTGTCTCCTGGAGCTCAGATACTCCCCTGCAGAGCTGCCGCTTTAACACCAGGTTTGCCAGGAAGCAGCCACGGTTCCAGGTTTGCTCAGCGGGATCGGGACAAGGACAGGTTGATGTTGCACAGACTTTGCTGTTTGTAACCCTCCTGCCCCGGCCCCGCCGGTGTCCCTGGGGGGACTTGAGCGAGTTCCCTGGAATTCGGCCGGTTTTCCGCCCCGGGCCGGGCTCCAGGGGATGGGTTGGCCCAGGAGAAGGCGGGGGCCGGACGCGCTCCCGGCCCGGGGCGAGGCAGCCCCTGAGCACGGGCGAGGACGTCTCTCCGGCCGGGAAGCCGCTGTCCCTTCGGAGCCTCGGGAGCGGCCCCGGGGAGTTCTTTTCCCCGAGCAAAGGGATGCACGTGCGGCTGAGGAGCCGCGGGCAGCCCTTTCCCCGTGCCCACCCCACGGGGGCTGTAGGGCACAGCTCCAGGGCACAGCTCCTCCATCCCCCGGCAATAGGAAGCCCAAGCAGGGCTGGGTCACTCTCTGTCGCTCCGGCCTCCTCCCGGCCCGCGTTCCCTGCCCAGCTGGGACTGCCCAGGGAGCCCCGAGAACATTCCTGGCGGGAAGCAGGAGCCGCCGAAGGCTCCGTCCAACTCCGGGCCCGAAAAGCGGCCCCGACCTGAGCCCCCCCCCCGCATTTTGGGTTCCCAAGGCTCACCTGGAGGAGACGCCCCCCCGCAGGCGGGACCAGGCGGCGACACTCGACCAACGCCTTTGCCTCGGAGCAAAGGATTCCTCTGGGCTTATTAGGCTCATTTATCCCTGGAAAAAGACGTTGTACGAGCACCTTTGCAACCATTGGATGAATCCTGAACGGGGCCGGCAAACCTCCCTGAGCAGGGCAGTGATGAATTGGTGCCCGTCCCCAGCCGGGCACAGCCCAGCCGGCCGCGCTCCCTCCGGCCCGTGGCTGGGAAGGGGGGATTTAATGCTGCAGAGATTTAATAAAAGCGGATTTCCTGACTGTATTTACCTGCGGTCCTTCCCTCCTTTGACTCGCGCAGCAGCGTCCGGTTGAGCGTTTCTTGGTTTCCTCTCCTGTAGCCGTTTCCCTCCCAGGCAGGACCTTCCCCGTCTGCAAATAAAGATGGGGGATGTTTAAAAAGCAGAGGGTTTGCCCCGGGAGGGTGCGAGTTGCCGAGGAAGCGGGGGAGAGGAAGGAGAGCCTCAGGTCTCACCTGGCAGGTGTCAGAGGAGCCGCACCTTCTGGATGGCAGGGCAAAGAACTGCTGGGGGCAATTGCCGAAGTTCCGCAGGCAGAGCTGGGAGCAGCCTGTGCCCGACCCGCGGCACGGTCAGCGCCAGCTCCTGGGGCCGCCTGTGGACAGACACAGGGACACGGGGACAGACGGGCAGCTCTGCTCGGGGTCCCGGAGCACGGGAGGAACGAGGGAGCGGCTGCCCCCGTTCTTCCCTGCCCCGGCAGGGCCCCGGCTCCCCGCGGCCGGAGCGGGTCCGTGGCCGGAGCCCCGGCGGGCCCCAGAGCCCTCGTTCCCGGGGGGCCCTGCGGGCGGGAACCTCCTGGGGCCGCGGGGAAGAGGGAGGCGGGCGATGTTCTTCGGGGGGGGGTGCGATGGCCTCGGGGGTGCCCGAGAGGGAGGAGCTCCGATCCCGCGGGGGGTGCGGGCGGCGCTGCGGGCCCGGCGGGATCGGGGGGTCCCGGGGCCGGCCCGGCGTGTCCCCGCACCCCGGCCGGTCCCGGCCCGGGTTCCGCGTCTGTACGAGGAAAGCGCCGCCGTTCTCCCCCAACCGGGCCCCGGCAGAGCCCCGGCCCGAGCGGCCCTGCCGAGCTCGGCCCCAGCGCCCACCCCGCAGCGACTCCGGCGATGCCGATCCCCGTACCGCTGCCGAACCCCATCGCAGCTCCAAGCCAGCCTCGGTCCTCCGGTGCCGGTGCCGTCCCCGCTCAGCGCCCCGAGCTCGGCGCAGCGCCGGGAGCAGCCGCCGGGCCGGGACTCCGGCCCCGAGCGCCGATCGCTCCCGCAGCATCCCGGTACGAGCTTCTTCCACAAACGCGGGGCGACCGCGGCTCTGCCGGCTTTAAACCCCGCGGGCGGGGCGGGGCCGGGGCGGAGCGGGGCCCGCACAGGTGTGCGAGGCGGGGCCCGTCCAGGTGCGCGGGGCGGGGACGGGCAGGGGGCGGGTCGGGGCGGGGGTATTTAAGCGCCGGAACTCGCCCCCACAGCCATTTGCTCGGGCAGTGCGCGGGGAGGCAGCAGCGCCGCGGGAGCCTCTCGCTGCCGCGGCTCTTTTTCTTTGCTTTTGCTTTTGCTTTTCCCTTTTCTTTTACTTTGTTCCCGTTCCTTCGTCCCCTCCCTTCCTCCCCCCCCCTACCCCCCACACCCTCCCCCCCCCAAACCCCCCCCCTCCCTCTCCCCCCTAGCCCCCCCCTCCCTCCCTCCCCAACCCGCTCGTGCCCGGCGCCCCCTCCCTGCCCCGCAGGGGCAGCCCGACCCGCCCGGCCCTCCTTCCTGCCCCTCCGTCCTCCGCCCTCCCTGTCCCCCCAGCCGGCCTGGCCCAGCCGGCCTGGCCCCGCTCCCCCTCCGGCCCCTGCTGCACACCCCGCCCCGCCCTGCCCTCCTTCCCGCCCCTCCGCCCTGCCCGTCCCCGCACGCCGCCTGCCCCCGGCCGCTGTCGCTGCCCTCCTGCACAGCCCAGACCCCCTGCCTGCCCCTGCTCCCCCCTCCCTGCCCTCCTGCACAGCCCGGACCCCCCCCCCTCCTGCCTGCCCCTGCTCCCCCCTCCCTTCTCCGCTGCACAGCCCGACCCCCCCCGTCCCCCGCTCCGTCCTTGCCCCCCCGCCCGTGCCGTCCGTCCCCCTGTCCCCCGGGCCGTGTCCCCGCAGCCGCGGGCTTGGGGGCGCCGGGTTTAATAAAGCCGCGAGGGCCGGAGCCGGCGCCCCCCCTGGATCCCCCTTTCCACGGGGCCGGGCCCGCTCGGCGGGTCCCCCCTGCAGTTCACAAGCACCGCCCGACACCGCCGGGGCTCCGGCCCGTCCCGACATCACACGGGGGGCTCCGCGGGCGGGGGGCAAAGGGTGCGGGTTCGCTCTCGGCACTAGAGCCGCAGATGTGCAGAGATCGCGGTGTCCATTGCCGAGAGCGACCCCTTGGGCTGGGGGGGCCGGGGGGAGTTGGGGAGGGGCCTCCTCCGGAGGAGGGGGTCCCGGGAAGGGGGGAGGGACTT